CACTGTCTGTGTCAATGGACACAGCAGTGGTATTCGGCAGCAAGCTTGCACGAGTGCCCCCATGGGAATCGACTTTGTATTGGGGGCACCATCAAGAGAGAAGGATCCAGAAGTGCCAGCAGGGAACCCAAAAAGAGGAGGATCAGGGCCACTCTGTGCAATTCTATTGCACAGAGCAAGTAAGTATAGACATGTTTTTTGTTTTGTTTTTATTTCCTTTACAAGCATGTTAATGACACACGTTAAATTCTTATGCACTTGGCAGCCTTGGCTTGACCACGTCCCAATCTCACAGTCGACCATCCACTTTTAGGAACTACTGTATAACTGTGCAGATACAGAATATAATATAACATTTGAGAGCCTCTGGGGTACAATCCCTCTTCCCCTCCCTTGCTACCCACCTCTTTCCTTTTATCTAACTTGCTCACTTTTCCTTTATCTTCACTTCTTTTCATGTAAACTTGCCTTCCTTCTTAGTATATTCTGCTTTTGACAGCATTTTTTGCTCCTATGAATGGTAGCAAAGTATTTTTCCTCCACTCTTTTGTTGATTTTGATATTCCACCCAATTTGAATGGACACCATTCTATCTCAAGTTCAGCAAAAGCACTGGGGTCTTTCAGTGTCACTGCCTTGATCGCATAATAGGTTCCTCTTCTCTAGTTGTTTGATACTCACAGGAATATGATCCCGCCGCAGACTATATTGTTACACCTGTTCTTATAACTTTGTTTAGGAGTCTATTCCCTTGTTGGAAATATTATACCTTACTTGAAGACTGAAGGTCGGGAATCTGCGTAGGTGCCATTATGTGTGTTGTGCATGTGACATATATATACTGTGTATATATATATATATATATATATATATATATATATATATACATATATATATATACATACAGTGGGGATCGAAAGTTTGGGCACCCCAGCTAAAAATTTGTATTAATGTGCATAAAGAAGCCAAGGAAAGATGGAAAAATCTCCAAAAGGCATCAAATTACAGATTAGACATTCTTATAATATGTCAACAAAAGTTAGATTTTATTTCCATCATTTACACTTTCAAAATAACAGAAAACAAAAAAATGGCGTCTGCAAAAGTTTGGGCACCCTGCAGAGTTAATATCTTGTACTGCCCCCTTTGGTAAGTATCACAGCTTGTAAACGCTTTTTGTAGCCAGCCAAGAGTCTTTCAATTCTTGTTTGAGGTATCTTTGCCCATTCTTCCTTACAAAAGTCTTCCAGTTCTTTGAGATTTCTGGGCTGTCTGTCACGCACTGCTCTTTTAAGGTCTATCCATAGATTTTCTATTATGTTGAGATCAGGAGATTGTGAAGGCCATGGCAAAACCTTCAGTTTATGCCTCTTGATGTAATCCCCCGTGGATTTCGAGGTGTGTTTAGGATCATTATCCCTTTGTAGAAGACATCCTCTCTTTAACTTCAGCTTTTTCACAGATGGCATCAAGTTACCATCCAAAATTTGCTGAAATTTTATTGAATCCATTTTTCCTTCTACTCGTGAGATGTTCCCTGTGCCACTGGCTGCAACACAACCCCAAAGCATGATTGATCCAACCCCATGCTTAACTGTTGGACAGAGGTTCTTTTCATTAAATTCTGTGCACCTTCTTCTCCAAACGTACCTTTGCTCATTCCGGCCATAAAGTTCAATTTTAACCTCATCGGTCCACAGAACTTGTTTCCAAAATGCATCAGGCTTGTCTATATGTTCATTTGCAAAGTTCAAACAATGATTTTTGTGATGAGGACGTAGAAGAGGTTTTCTTCTGATGACTCTTCCATGAAGACCATATTTGTACAAGTATCTCTTTATAGTGGAATAGTGTACCACAACTCCAGTGTCAGAGGATATTGACATCTGAAAATGCTTTGCTATCTTCTTATAGCCTTCTCCAGCTTTGTGAGCGTCAACTATTTTCAGTTTCAGTTTTCTAGACAACTGCTTAGAAGAACCCATGGTGCTGATTGTTGGGGCAAGGTCAGATGAGTCTGGGCATTTAAAACCTTTGAGATTGACATCACCTGGTCTTCCCAGATGATGATTGAGAACAATCCATGACACTGGCAGGTCTCAGCTTGGCAAAGGGGGCAGTGCATGCTATAAATTCTGCAGGGTGCCCAAACCTTTGCAGACGCCATATTTTTGTTTTCTGTTATTTTGAAAGTGTAAATGATAGAAATAAAATCTAACTTTTGTTGACATATTATAAGAATGTCTAATCTGTAATTTGATGCCTTTTGGAGATTTTTCCATCTTTCCTTGGCTTCTTTATGCACATTAATACAAATTTTTAGCTGGGGTGCCCAAACTTTCGATTCCCACTGTATATATATATATATATATATATATATATATATATATATATATATATATATATATGCCACTTTTTTATGTTCTCCTTTTTCAAAAGCATAGTAAAAGAAAAACTTGAAAGGAGTACAACTTTTCGCTTATCTATCAAAAAAAATTGACTTTTGATAAACATTAAGCTAATCAAAAATACATTTAATCAGATGCTTATAGTATGGCTTTCCCATAGAAATTAATTGAGTAATAGCAGTATGAAGGCTAGGCAGGGTGAGGACACATGGAAATGATCACTGGATCATGGCTGAAGAATAGTGTAAGACCAAGTGAGCAGAACACTGCCAGGTGGGGGGGCTAAGTAAAAAGAATACAACAAAAATGTAATCTACAGATATATCTACTTGAAATAAATTGTTCATCCCTTGACATTATATTTCCATGATGGAAAACATTCAGAAACATTGCAGGGTTACATAAGAGTATTGCTGAGTTCTCCAGATTTCATAGCATAGCTCTGTCCGAAGTGGGTGGAATTTCCTTTGGTTTCAGGTCTACACCTCCTCCAATATATGGCACACATATTACTGGAAATGGGGTTCTTATTGTATGACAGCAATTAACTTGTATATTCATACAAGAAGAATGTAATGAAAGACAGCTGCTGCTGGTAGAATGGATTGTGTAGTATGGCAGACTTGACATTTACTGTTATTACAATTAGAACTTTAAATTAAGCAGAGCTGTACTTTATAGCTGCTTGAATGCTATGAAGAATCCTACATAACAAAGAGCCGCTGATGGTAAATGCCAATAATTACGCAATACCACCTGCTTCTGCCAATTTCTCCAACAGTTAATGTACACTTCAAAAATCAATCACATTCTTTTCAGATACAATTGCACAGCCTTGTAACAAGAGGAAATAGTGGCAACAATTTTTATACCAATAGTGGGTTGATTTACTAAAACTGGAGAGTACAAAATCTGGTGTAGCTGTGCATGGTAGCCAATCAGCCTCTAACTTCAGTTGTTCAGTTAAGCTTTAACAAAAATCCTGGAAGCTGATTGGTTTCTATGCAGAGCTGCACCAGACTTTGCACCATGCAGTTTTAGTAAATCAACCCCAGTGTGTATTTTTGTGTGGAAATTCCAACGACAAAATGCCAGAGACTATGACGTTGCTTAGTATAGCGTTTTTTTTCTGTTTCAAACGTTTTACTGAGTTTTCAAATAATACTAGAGCAGAACAGCATTACCAAATCATGTACCAAAGTGAATTGTCTACATAATCAAAAAGTATACAATGGTGACAGTAACAAGAAAACATCAAAAATGAGTGTTATGAAAAAGGAGGGGTTCAGCCAGGAACCCATAGAGAGTCCTTATGTATGTATGAGGAACTACATCAAAGTGGTTAGTATAAAGTTTTTTTCATGAAAAACATAACTACAATTCATTTTTTCCCAATACACATGGCAGCTTTGGCCTTTGTAAAACAAATTAGATAAATTAGTCTACAGGTAACTCGCAGCCAATAGGAGTTAATTTTTTTTATTAAAAGATCACTGCAACCTGAAATCTGATTGGTTAGTATGATCAATGTACTTTGGTCTACTTAAATAAATATGACTGTATATTTTCCGGTTATACAGTATATTAAGCCACTGAATAAGCCCTTGTTGGGTGAAATGTGTTAGGCCGTGGCTTCTGGTGGTAATTCGGTGCATGCGGTCAATGGTATTAAACAAAACTGGAGCAAATACATTCGGTGTTTGGGTTGTCTCATTGCATTTCAGAGTGTAATGGAGTGTGTATGGACTCTTGAGTTTAAGCACTTGGCTGGTGTAAGCACTGATGTGGGTCGGCTTTGTTGAACATTTCCAACACAAGGCCAACAGTGGCCAAAATCACAAGTATTCTATAAAGTATAACCAAAAGGTAAAACTTTTTTTTTTTCAGTTTTGGATAGAGTGCAGGAAGATTAAACACCTGTGTGTTTTTATTGCTGTCTGTGCCCCCGTTAAGAAGATTCACCCTTTCTATTAGTCTTGATTACCATTATCATTGAAAGTGAAAGAAAATCCCAAAAGCCATTCCGGCTGCACACATGCATCACCAAAAATGTTTTACCTCCATCGCACTTAATGGGCAGTATCACCACCAAACATGACCCATTCACAAGAATGATGCAACCACCCTAAAACTCTATGGTATGCACACAGTAGAGGCACAGTGGTGGGGGCTATCCAGGGGTAAAACAGCTGGCAGGCAGCCACTTGTCAATTGTCTTCTGAAAAGTGATTCGCTATGGAGCCTTTAGTTGTCCCCAGAAAAGTAATAGAGGGGAAATCTTCCAATAGTTCTGATGACCTGGGGCTCCACAAGGAATTCCCTTAATTTGGAGGGGTTTCTTCTCACTTTATGTTTTGGCTATGGGACACAAATGGCAGAAAAAAACCCGACAGGGGTTATAACCCTCCCTTACTCTATCCAAAATGGAAAAAAAAAAGTTTTATTTATAGTTCTGCTTTAAATTAGGTCATCATTAAATTAATCCCATATACACTATATTGCAAAAAGTATTAAGGCACTCCTCCAAATCATTGGATTCAGGTGTTCTATTCACCTCCATGGCCACAGGTGTATAAAATCAAGCACCTAGGCACGCAGACTGCTTCTACAAACATTTGTGGAAGAATTGATCGCTGTCAGGAGCTCAGTGAATTCAAGCGTGGTACCGTGAGAGGTTGCCACCTGTGGAATAAGTCCATCCATGAAATTTACTTGCAACTAAATATTCCACGGTCAACTGCTAGTGATGTTATAACAAAGTGGAAGCAACTGGGAACAACAGCAACCCAGCCACAAAGTGGTGGGCCACATAAAATGACAGAGTGGGGTCAGGGTATGCTGAAGCGCACAGTGCGCAGAAGTCACCAACTGTCTGCAGAGTCAATAGCTAAAGACCTCCAAACTTCATGTGGCCTTCAGATTATCACAACAACAGTGAGGAATCACGCTTTTCTGTCTGGCAATACAATGGATGTGTCTGGGTTTGGTGGTTGCCAGGAGAACAGTACTTGCCTGACTGTATTGTGCTAAGTGTAAAGTTTGGTGGAGGGGGGATTATGGTGTGGGGTTGTTTTTCAAGGGTTGGGCTTGGCCCTTAGTTCCAGTGAAGGGAACTCTTAAGGCATTAGCATACCAAGACATTTAGGACAATTTCATGCTCCCAACTTTGTGGGAACAGTTTGGGGATGGCCCCTTCCTGTTCCAACATGACTGCGCACCAGTGCACAAAGCAAGGTCCTTAAAGACATGGATGAGCAAGTTTGGGGTGGAAGAACTTGACTGGCCTGCACAGAATCCTGGCCTCAACCTGATATAACACCTTTGGGATAAATTAGTGTGGAGATTGCGAACCAGGCCTTCTTGTCCGACATCAGTGCCTGACCTAATAAATACGCTTCTGGAAGAATGGTCAAACATTCCCATAGACACACTCCTAAACCTTGTGAACAGCCTTCCCAGAAGAGTTGAAGCTGTTATAGTTGCAAAGGGTGGGCCAACTCAATATTGAACCCTACGGACTAAGACTGGGATGCCATTAAGGTTTACAGTTGCAAAGAAAAAGTATGTGAACCCCTTGGGATTACGTGGAGTTTTGCATGAATTGGGCATAAATGTGCTCTGAACGTCATCTAAGTCACAACAATAGAAGAACACAGTCTGCTGAACATAATACTACACAAAACATTAGATATTGCCATGGTTTAATTGCACATAACATGTAAACATTCACAGTGCAGAGAGGAAAAAGTATGTGAGGCCCTAGTTTATTGACTTCTCCCAGAGCTAATTGGAGCCAGGAGTGAGCCAACCTTGACTCCAATCAGTGTGATGATATTGGATGTGTTGCTGACAGCTGTCCTGCCCTTAAAAAACACACACCTGTTTTGAGTTTACTGGTTTCAAGAAGCACTGTCTGATGTGAACCATGCCTCGTAGAAAAGAGCTCTCAGAAGACCTACAATCAAGAATTGTTGACTTGCATGAAGCTGGAAAGGGTTACAAAAGTATCTCCAAAAGCCTTGATGTTCATGTGTGCACTGTAAGACAGACTGTCTACAAATGGAGAAAGTTTAGCACTGTTGCTACTCTCCCTAGGAGGGGTCGTCCTGTAAAAATGACTGCAAGAGCACAGCGCAGAATGCTGCATGAGGTAAAGAAGAATCCCAGAGTGTCAGCTAAAGACCTACAGAAATCTCTGGCACATGCTAACATTTTTGTTGACACATCTACAATAAGGAAAACATTAAACAAGAATGGAGTACATGTGAGGACACCACGGAGGAAGCCATTGCTGTCCAAAAAGAATATTGCAGCACGTTTGAAGTTTGCAAAAGAGCACCTGGATGTTCCACAGCACTACTGGCAAAATATACTTTGGACAGATGAAACCAAGATTGAGTTGTTTGGGAAGAACACACAACACTATGTGTGGAGAAAAAAAGGCACAGCACACCAACATCAAAACCTCATCCCCACTGTAAAACATGGTGGAGGGAGCATCATGGTTTGGGGCTGCTTTGCTGCCTCAGGACCTGGAAGGATTGTTGTCATTGATGGGAAAATGAATTCCAGAGTTTATCAAGACATTTTTCAGGAAAACGTACGACCATCTGTCCGCCAACTGAAGCTCCGCAGAGGATGGGTGATGCAACAGGACAATGACCCAAAGCATACAAGTAATTCAACAAAACAATGCCTGCAACAGCACAGAATACGCCTTCTGGAGTGGCCCAGTCAGAGTCCTGACCTCAACCCAATTGAAATGCTGTGGCATGACCTTAAGAGAGCGATTCACACCAGACATCCCAAGAATATTGCTACACTGAAACAGTTTTGTGAAGAGGAGTGGTCCAAAATTACTCCAGATCGTTGTGCAGGTCTGATCTGCAACTACAGGAAACGTTTGGTTGAGGTTATTGCTGTCAAAGGAGGGTCAACCAGTTATTAAGTCCAAAGGTTCACATACTTTTTCCTCCCTGCACTGTGAATGTTTAAATGTCATGTGCAATTAAACCATGGCAGCATCTAATGTTTGTGTAGTATTATGTTCAGCAGACTGTGTTCTTCTATTGTTGTGACTTAGATGACGTTCAGAGCACATTTCATGCCCAATTCATGCAAAACTCCACGTAATCCCAAGGGGTTCACATACTTTTTCTTGCAACTGTATGTGCGTGTAAAGGCAGGCTTTCCAATACTTTTGGCAATATAGTGTATATCAGTAGAGCAGTACATGTCAGCAGAACATAATCACATTATTATTAATAAAATAGTGCTTCTCCATGAAAACAAACTAGCCTAAGCAGTCTAAATCACACAGTGTTTGGCTACAAATCAGTAGATACTGTTATTTCTAATCCAATACACCCTGACTCAAAGACCTAAGCTGACCATAGATGATTCATTTTTTTTTCAACCACTGGAAAAGTACAGCAAAAATAAACAGAATTTGTGAAAAATGTTAAATACAGATGGCAAAAACCTGATAAGGGTTTTCTTTTTAAAATCAGATACTTTTTATTTGAAAACCAGTTTCCAGTTACATAAAAACTTTTTACAAGTTCCATCACACTTCAAAAAGACAATAACAAACCGTCAAAACAGAGCGCCGAAAACAGAGACTATCCACCTCCTATCACAGTATGGTCATATAAAAGACTGTCACGCAGGGCGGCAACTGTATAATACTGGTAAAGCGAGTTATACAAGTGCGTCTAGCATCATCACAATATCATTGTTCAGACAAATTGTGGATATCCAAAATAATACAATTAAAAAGGAAAAAAAAAAGGAAACAACTAAAAAATTATATATAAAGAACTAAACCAAGCCATGTGTGGTGTTGTCTTGGTAGGCGACAGCCTCAAGTATCACCCAGAAGTAACTATTATATAGAAAAAGAGAATGTAGTGTTAAATCACAGATGGTATGCATGTCCCCCTGTTAGGTTAGCGAGAATGGTGAGACTGACAAAGGTTTTGATTATTCCCTACTCTGTCCAAAATGAAAAATAATATATAGAAATTGTCCCCAATGGATTTTGTGGAGGATACAGACTTACAAAGGTGCAGAGTATAAGGAGTGTCTAAGTTGACAGCTGACCTACTTCTAAAGCTGGCAATAGACAGTTCAAATCTCGGCCAGCTCAGTAGGGACCGGCCAAGATTCGAGCCATGTATGGGCAGGTTGATTGTACAAAGTTGATCGATCCATCAGATTGGGTACAACCAGCCTGTTGGATTTTACATGTAATTATTGCATAGCATTATAGCTGCTAGCGGTAATCCTGGTGTGTTCCCCCTGCCAGGGGAACACAATAGCTTAACAGGAGTTATTCCCCCATCACTGACTTGTGGTTGCAGAAAGGAAAATCCGTTTCTAGCCAGCTTATGACCCCATGCAGACTGAGTGTTAAAACGTTTCTTTTAAGGGTTTCTGGCTTTTTTGTCTGCCTCTAAATGCCCCTCCATGTTAGCCTATGTGTCGATGCACACAGATGTTTAGAGGCAGAAAAGAAACCCCACTGTCAGCTCTTTCAGGAGTAGCAGCGGTAGTCAGAAATAATGATTCATGCATGTAAACGCTACACCTGTCAAGTACTTGAACATTAATTTCAATGGTCAGAATAACTTATTATCCTGGCAAACTAAGTGAATTGACACCCAAGCGCCTGACGCATATTTTCATTTAAACACATTTACAGGCATCAAGCATTTTTTCTGACAAAACCCTGCTGCCAGGAGGAAAGGCGTTTAAGACAGCATGTCCTGTGTGCATGGGGCCTTAACTACACCAACTGCTTTAACCTGCTTTCAATTGCCATTGACTTAGGTGGAAGAGGAATCATGATGTGAATAAAAGCCTGTGTACACAAGCCCTAAGTTTCTTTATCGTTGCCTTGCAATGGAGGCTAAGAAAAATTACCCATTCCCCATTTATTAAAATGGTTTAGGGTTGCACAACTAGTTCTTCTTTTATGCAACCTCATAAACACAGAACATTATATTAATTTTCTATAAACAAGATTTCAATTAAATATAAATTCATAAATTGACAAGATGACAGCAGCAGTCGGCCAACCACTAGAGATAAAAAATAAAATACACATTTTGATGTAGTATGCAGATGACTCTATATCTGGAGGAAAAACAGATTTGATCTCCAAATACGGAAAGGTTTCTTCACAGTAAGAGCTGTGAAAATGTGGAATAGACTCCCTCAAGAGTTGGTTCTGGCCAGCTCAGTGGATTGTTGAAAAAAAATGTCAGTAATAAAGGAAAAATAAAAAAAAAGGGTTCAAAAATCAACTCGCCAGCCAACTTGCCAACAACCAAATTAACCTGTCTAACAGTATGCGTTAAAAACAGGGGTTTAGTTAGCACACATTTGCAAATACATACGTAAGCCACAGAGCCACATCGGGGTACCCTGGTATTCTGTGGTCCTAACTCTACAAATTTGAGAGTCCCCATAGTAGAGGCACATGCATTTAAAGGATAGACCAAGGGCAGGTGCACATAAAGGAAGCCCACCCCTCTTAAAGGTACAGGAGTGCAAAGAACACCCAGGTTATAGCACAATGGCAGCTAGGGCGCCCAATGCACTCACTCACCTTAAAAACAACAGGAAAAAAACACCTGAAAAAAAACCCTGTATTCTTTCCAAGATACACAGAATATAACTGGATACTAACATTTATAGGTAAAGTTGATCCAGGGAATATCCAATTGCCTCTCGGGGGATCAAGGAATTTTTTCCCCTGCAGGAACAAATTGGATCATGCTTTGATGGGGGGGGGGGGGGGTGCCTTCCTCTGGATCAGCTGTGGGTGTAGGATTAGAACTTGTTTTTTTTTTATGGTTGAACTGGATGGACTTTCTTCAGCCAGACTATGTAACTATGACATCATTGGCTCCTGGAACAACCATTGGCTTCAGGATCTAAAATTA